GTAGTGATATTTCGATAGTTACACAGAGTAGCACCATTGGACATCGGTAGTTACACTGGTTTTATGTAGTGATATGTCGATAGTTACACAGAGTAGCACCATTGGACATCGGTAGTAACACCGGTTTTATGTAGTGATATGTCGATAGTTACACAGAGTAACACCTAGGACATCGGTAGTTACACTGGTTTTATTTAGTGATATTTCGATAGTTACACAGAGTAGCACCATTGGACATCGGTAGTTACACTTGTTTTATGTAGTGATATTTCGATAGTTACACAGAGTAGCACCATTGGACATCGGTAGTTACACTGGTTTTATGTAGTGATATGTCGATAGTTACACAGAGTAGCACCATTGGACATCGGTAGTAACACCGGTTTTATGTAGTGATATGTCGATAGTTACACAGAGTAACACCTAGGACATCGGTAGTTACACTGGTTTTATTTAGTGATATTTCGATAGTTACACAGAGTAGCACCATTGGACATCGGTAGTTACACTTGTTTTATGTAGTGATATTTCGATAGTTACACAGAGTAGCACCATTGGACATCGGTAGTTACACTGGTTTTATGTAGTGATATGTCGATAGTTACACAGAGTAGCACCATTGGACATCGGTAGTAACACCGGTTTTATGTAGTGATATGTCGATAGTTACACAGAGTAACACCTAGGACATCGGTAGTTACACTGGTTTTATTTAGTGATATTTCGATAGTTACACAGAGTAGCACCATTGGACATCGGTAGTTACACTTGTTTTATGTAGTGATATTTCGATAGTTACACAGAGTAGCACCATTGGACATCGGTAGTTACACTGGTTTTATGTAGTGATATGTCGATAGTTACACAGAGTAGCACCATTGGACATCGGTAGTAACACCGGTTTTATGTAGTGATATGTCGATAGTTACACAGAGTAACACCTAGGACATCGGTAGTTACACTGGTTTTATTTAGTGATATTTCGATAGTTACACAGAGTAGCACCATTGGACATCGGTAGTTACACTTGTTTTATGTAGTGATATTTCGATAGTTACACAGAGTAGCACCATTGGACATCGGTAGTTACACTGGTTTTATGTAGTGATATGTCGATAGTTACACAGAGTAGCACCATTGGACATCGGTAGTTACACTGGTTTTATGTAGTGATATGTCGATAGTTACACAGATGAACACCTTAGGACATCGGTAGTTACACTGGTTTTATGTAGTGATTTGTCGGAAGTTACACAGATTAGGACCTTAGGACATCGGTAGTTACACTGGTTTTATGTAGTGATATATCGATAGTTACACAGAGTAGCACCATTGGACATCGGTAGTTACACTGGTTTTATGTAGTGATGTATCGATAGTTACACAGAGTAACACCTTGGGATATCAATAGTTACAATGGTTTTATGTAGTGATATGTCGATAGTTACACAGAGTAACACCTTGGGATATCGATAGTTACACTGGTTTTATGTAGTGATATATCGATAGTTACAAAGATTAAGACATTGGGACATCGGTAGTTATACTGGTTTACGCCGTGATATGTCGATAGTTTCACATATTAACACATTGGGACTTCGGTTTTCACAATGCACGTGTACCCGTGAAAATTCCCTGAAAATGCCGTGAATGTTAGTCGTGAAAAGTGACCGTAGTCAGAGCCGTGATTTTTATTTGGAATCTTGAATCGTGGCATATTTACCTGTGAAAAGATATTTTATCAAGACCATGAAATAATTGCTTTTTCATTGCCATGAAATAATTTCATGGCCATGAAAGATGTCGTGAAAGTTACAAGAATCACGGCCGTGAATCATGGCCGTAAATGTATTTTTTCAGTGCCATGAACATTTTTTTGAGGTGAATTTTGAAGGTCATGAAAAGAAAAAAATCAAGACCGTGAAAAAAAATGCACTGATTAATCATGACCTTGGAAATATCATGAAAAGTAACCGTAGTCACGGCACTGAAAATTTCATGGCTTTTCACGGCCAGGAATTGCCCTTTTCGGCCGTGATTCTGGTAAATTGAACGACATTTTTCATGGTCATGAATTCTTTTCAGCACAGACGTGATTTTACTCGAATTGAATTTCACGGCCATGAAAAAAATGTTCAGATGCGAGTTCCAGATGTTTAGTACTCATCAAATGTATATCACCTAGATGCTTCTTGTGAGAAACTTCTCAGCATTCTTTCTTGATGAGAGCAAATTCTCTATGGGAGAATTAATTCACTAAAACGAATACCAAAGAACAAGGAGGAAAGCAGGAAGCCAATTTTATGTTGTCAAGGTTCTGATACAAAATAAAACAAATTTCATTAAAATCAAGTTAGAGCTACCTAAATGTGTGGCTCAAAATTGAATGACTACTGTGAGTCGGGTGCACAGTTTGGTCATCGAGGTTCAATTGTGGAATACAATTCCGTCTTTTCGCAATTACGATTCTGAGTTGTCTCCCATGAGACAGATATTAATAAATTGCAAAGTGATTTGTTTTTGTGAGAAATTAGTGACTCATGGGAGAAATCTCTAAATAACGAAAATACAGAGTTGCTGCAAATCCTATGGATTACAGCTGATATATGGTGGAAAACTGGTACATAAAACAATGGGACTCAGAAGATTGCTGATTACTGGATGCAGAATAATTACTTATTAGAGATGGACAGGGACTCAGCAGGGACTTAATTATTTAAGTCAAACTTATTAGCAACTTTTGGGTACAATTTACACCCCAAAATGTATACTGTGACCGTCGTCACTACGCAACCATTTATAATATATTTACATTTGCATGGCGTTGTCACTATATAGCCTCTTTGAAAGCTGTGTCGTTGATGGGACTTTAATTACCATGCATCACGGGACACAATTCTTAGCGTATTAAAACAACACTGACCGGAACTAAAATATCCAATATAAATAAACATGACGGCTGCTGAAATATCGCTGGGCATTGTGAGATTTGACAATATCATTGTAAATTTATGTGCAAAATAAAAAATAACATAAAAACACTTTTATTACAACGAAAACAAGACCAAGGTCTGCAATATCGCACAAAATGCACATCGGTTGAAATCACCAATGCCGGCAATAATAACAATGTTAACGCTCATGCAATTTATCAGAAACATCGTCTGTTACACTGCACTGATCAACAGGGGTTCGTTACAAATGTCTGAAATACATATATTCTATAGACCTACTGACACATATGTTACAGACCTACTGATATGAGTCACAGCACACATAAACATTTCAGACATTTGCAACGAACTTGTGCTCCGTCGCAAGATCACTCACTTCAAACGCTATCAGTTTCACGCGTCTCGCATCCACGGTTCCTCAGTTTCTGAGGACATGTCAAATAACGAGGCTGTTATAGAATCTACTGACTGTTGTCAGGTTCCATTACAACCAACAAATACATTCAAGTCTGGATTCTTCACAAAATGGGCAAAGAGAAAAGTTCGAATTAACTTCCAAAAATAACTCCCTCTTGGAAGGCAAGGTCGGATAAACGGTATTCACTGTATTTATCCAAGCGCGAAATTTGCTCCGGGGGAAAATCGAAACAATTTCAAATCTAACTTTCAGCTCAGAGTTCTATTGATAAACTTAAATCACCCTATAGACATATCATACGCAATTGTATTGATACTGAATTGTGGAATAAAATTGAAGTGTTTGTTTAAATTTCAAAGTACTACTTTGTTTGCCAATCAGCACGCGACAATACGAAATTGTGTGGACTGTCGATAAGGCGGGCATTTTTAATTTTAGATTTAAAATTATGAGTTAAAAAAGAACATAAGAGGCAGAGAAAACGTAAATATAAGTATTGAACTAGTACTGTTTTTGTATGGTATTTATGATCTATTTAAATGACACAGCTTTGGAAGCAAACAACATAATGCTTAATTAGGTCACTCCAAGACAGGGTCCAGACCACCTGGCAATGGTTCTGTCATGTATCTTTCATAATTTGACCGCAAAATTTTCTCAAGGGTCGGAAACTTAAGAAAGTTGTTGGTCTTTAATTATAATATGTGTCCAGTAAAATTAAGGGAAAAATATGTGTTTCCTGTTTCATCGTCAATAAAATTAGTTGTTTGGTTGGTAATGATTTTTTACCATGTAAGAATATAGCAGGTTTCAAGAAGCTTAAGATTATAGTCGGGGTATACAAAACTAGGGTCGGTCGGGAAACCTGAAGCACATTTCTATGGCCTAAGAATATAATTTTCCGTGAATACTGTCACTGAACAGACCCATCAGTGACACCGGGTGTATACAGAGTATATACACATGTAGTTAAAATAATACAATAAAAAAATAACATTGATCAGTGAAATTAACACAAAAAATAAATTTAATTAAATGTATTCAATTCGTTCAATTGCAAAAGTGCAATAAAACCAACATGAAAATCAATACTTTTACATTTGCAAGAGTGTAATCCTCCCCCCACCCCCCAAGCATGCAGCAACAGATATGCATTGTGAAGTCACATAACATTTGCAATATACAGCTGGCAATACTTTTGTTGCAAGCCTGAAATAATATTTGATCAGCTACATTGTAGGCCAAAAAAAAAAAGATAGCTGTGCTTATACTTTCAACATACCAGAAAAAAATGAGGAAAGGGTAAAGTTGAAATGCTTTTTGTTTTCAGTTTTTACTAATTTAAGTATAATGAAGGACATCTGATATTAACACATGTCGTCTTTCCTTCAAAATGTCAATAAAATCTGGAGTGTAGGCTAGGGTTGGCACAACATCTGGAGTGTAGGCTAGGGTTGGCACAAAATCTGGAGTGCGGGCTAGGGTTGGCACAAAATCTGGAGTGTAGGCTAGGGTTGGCACACAATCTGGAGTGTAGGCTATGGTTGGCACAAAATCAGGAGTGTGGGCTAGGGTTGGCACAAAATCTGGAGTGTGGGCTAGGGTTGGCACAAAATTTGGAGGGTGGGCTAGGGTTGGCACAAAATCTGGAGTGTGGGCCAGGGTTGGCACAAAAATGGGGTGTAGGCTAGAGTTGGCACAAAATCTGGAGTGTAGGCTAGGGTTGGCACAAAGTCTGAAGTGTAGGCTAGGGTTGGCACAAAATCTTGAGTGTAGGCTAGGGTTGGCACAAAATCTGGAGTGTTGGCTAGGGTTGGCACAAAATCTGGAGTGTAGGCTATGGTTGGCACAAAATCAGCAGTGTGGGCTAGGGTTGGCACAAAATCTGGAGTGGAGGCTAGGGTTGGCACAAAATCTGGAGGGTAGGCTAGGGTTGGCACACAATCTGGAGTGTAGGCTAGGGTTGGCACAAAATATGGATCGCAGGCTAAGGTTGGCACAAAATCTGGAGTGTAGGCTAGGGGTGGCACAAAATATGGATCGTAGGCTAGGGTTGGCACAAAATCTGGAGTGTGGGCCAGGGTTGGCACAAAAATGGGGTGTAGGCTAGAGTTGGCACAAAATCTGGAGTGTAGGCTAGGGTTGGCACAAAGTCTGAAGTGTAGGCTAGGGTTGGCACAAAATCTTGAGTGTAGGCTAGGGTTGGCACAAAATCTGGAGTGTTGGCTAGGGTTGGCACAAAATCTGGAGTGTAGGCTAGGGGTGGCACAAAATCTGGAGTGTAGGCTAGGGGTGGCACAAAATCTGGAGTGTAGGCTAGGGGTGGCACAAAATATGGATCGTAGGCTAGGGTTGGCACCAAATCTGGAGTGTAGGCTAGGGTTGGCACAAAATCTGGAGTGTGAGCTAGGGTTGGCACAAAATTTGGAGGGTGGGCTAGGGTTGGCACAAAATCTGGAGTGTAGGCTAGGGTTGGCACAAAATATGGATTGTAGGCTAGGGTTGGCACAAAATCTGGAGTGTAGGCTAGGGTTGGCACAAAATCTGGAGTGTAGGCTAGGGTTGGCACAAAATCTGGAGTGTAGGCTAAAATCTGGAGTGTGGGCTAGGGTTGGCACAAAATCTGGAGCGTAGGCTAGGGTTGGCAGAAAATATGGATCGTAGGCTAGGGTTGGCACAAAATCTGGAGTGTAGGCTAGGGTTGGCACAAAATAAGGGCTGGATTAATTAGCAAAAACATTGGATTTTCTTTTTCCTTTAATTTTAAACTTTAATTAGATTTAATTAATCGGAGAAATTAAAGTGACTGCCGTATATAATAATGATCAAACTTACACTAAATCCTACAGTACTAACGGGACCGACCCTATAATTTTGTGCCTTAGGCCTAGAAGTTTTTGAAGCATTTTCAAGGAAAGACCTACAAGTCAAGTTGTCTTTTTGAGTTATGTATAACCTAACGTAGTAAAAACTATTAAATAAAAATAAAAAACAATCCCCTACCGACCGACCCTATTTTTATTTCGCATGTTAACGGAATCACAGCTATTATTGTTTAGGCCTTGGCTGAAACATGCATGTTGATCATGGCACACTGATATGGAAAATCTAATAAAACCTTTTGGCAATATCATATATATACGGTATTATAATTGTATAATTTTCTAATTTAAACGAGAACACTTATGTACAGTATGTACACATGTACAGTTATGACCAACTCGACAAGACCCAATCCTGATATTTATAATTATCTACCTCAATGTTATATTAGTTGCCACTTTTATGGTAGTTTACTTTTAAAAAAAGGGGGAGAACTTTTTATAGTTCCCTGTTTATTTTTATCTAATTTGCGTCATATGACAACAGGAATCATTAAATTTCATTTTGGGAATTCAAATGATTCTCAGTTGATTCCAAGGGGTGATGTTAAAGCATTCCACTGTGCATAGGTGTCAACCTCCGAAATCACCAATGCAGGAGATCTCACATAGGTGTCAACCTCCGAAATCACCAATGCAGAAGCTCTCACATAGGCGACAACCTCCGAAATCACCAATGAAGGAGATCTCACATAGGTGTCAACCTCCGAAATCTCCAATGCAGGAGATCTCACATAGGTGTCAACCTCCGAAATCGCCAATGCAGAAGATCTCACATAGGCGACAACCTCCGAAATCACCAATGCAGGAGATCCCACATAGGTGTCAACCGCCGAAATCACCAATGCAGAAGATCTCACATAGGCGACAACATCCGAAATCACCAATGCAGGAGATCTCACTTAGGTGTCAACCTCCGAAATCGCCAATGCAGGAGATCTCACATAGGTGTCAACCTCCGAAATCACCAATGCAGAAGATCTCACATAGGCGACAACCTCCGAAATCACCAATGCAGGAGATCTCACATAGGTGTCAACCTCCGAAATCACCAATGCAGAAGATCTCACATAGGTGTCAACCTCCGAAATCCCCAATGCAGGATATCTCACATAGGTGTCAACCTCCGAAATCACCAATGCAGGAGATCTCACATGAAACAAAAATCGCAGCATTTCTTTCCGCGAAGGGAAGCTTCACTTATCATGGTCACAATATAACTAATACTGGTCACTACACTATTCATATTACCGTATACAGCCATCGTCTCATAACACTTATCATGGTCACAATATAACTAATACTGGTCATTACACTATTCATATTACCGTATACAGCCATCGTCTCATAACACTTATCATGGTAACAATATAACTAATACTGGTCACTACACTATTCATATTACCGTATACAGCCATTGTCTCATAACACTTATCATGGTCACTTCTACACTGGTGTACAGGAAACTGAAAAGCCTGACAAGGCTTTTTAGATGTTTGTAATCATCGAAGGCTGAGTGTAGTCTTTCAAAGAAATCTTTGGTGTCATTTATAATGTAGGATTCGTAAAGTGCGTCCAGATGGTAAAATGCAGATGACATCACTTTGTATTTGATGTCGGGGTTTATTTGGACATCCTTTTTATTTAATTTCAACATCGGTATCATCAAGTTCTTTACAAGTTCTAGTTCTACTGACTCTGATGAGTCTCCATCCATATCTTCATTACGGCGTACTTTGCCAATTGGTTTCTGACAATTGACAATACAGGGTTCCTTTTCATTGTCAACTTACATACCCAAATATAAATTGCCATTTTCCCACTCAAATACCGACATTAGATTATTGTCGCGTCCAGATTCAATTTCTTCTTTTTTTCTCGACCTCCACATGCACCAGACTTAACACTACTGTCTTTCCTTTTGCTGTTTTGTACTTGGTTCCCAGGGTGAATTGAAGGATTACTTTTCTTACTTTGCTGGACTTTAGTGTTACTGTTTTGTGTGTCACTGTTTGCCTGTGCACTAGTTAACGTTGTAGTCGACGTAACAGTTGAAGAACTCTTACTTTTCTGGGGTATTTGTTGCGACACTGACAGTTCCTTAGCTGAAATAATTCGTGAATTCAAACCAGCAGCCCATTTTCCTACGCGTTCAGTTCTCCACACTATTTTCTTTCTCGACAGTTTTTGAGTTAGAATGTTCTCATCCAAAAAGGGTTCAGGTAGTTCAACATTCTCCTCCGTTGCATTTTGCAAATAAAGGTCGACAGGGCCACTTCGGAGAAAAGTTCGTCTTTCTTGGTTATGTACAGTGCTTTGCCTATCAAGTCTCGTTTGTTCTTTGCTAATAGTCTTACAACTTCCGATAGACTTGCATTTGGTTGACATGGTTGACGCTGGTCATTTGATTTTGAGGCATGTGGAATTCTGGATTTTTTTTAGCGTTTTCTTTCCGGAGGCTATATCTCGAATTCTGCGGTTTTCGAATGACTGTCCAAGCCTGCTCCACACCTCCTCTAAATGTTGTGGATTGTCCAGAACGGGAGCACCTCTGACATTTCAAATCAAGAAAACAAACCGTATTTTAATATTTTGATAGGCTTTAAATGAAATCTGTTTAATATTTTTAGAAAAAATTGAACTTTGTAACACTAATTGTGTTTTACCGCAATGCTTTCCTTGTCAAAAAGTCGAAAACAGCGGAAAAGCTGACGTTCAAAAAGGTATATTTTTGCACTTTTACAACTAAATGTCTAATTGTCTAGTAGACTATATTTTCTTATTTTCCATCGATTCGAGTATCAATACATGATTTAGTGTCAAAATTAATTTCTTGTATGTTGCCGAATTCATGCAAGTAGGGTGTTCGAGCACTGGTCGCCTACACGCTGAAATCAACAGCTTCGCCCACTACCATGTGACTGGCTCCCAAAAATAGACCCAAGGTACTCACGGGATAAAATAATGCAAGAAAGTATCCGTCGTTTAAGTGAGTCCACATCTTAAATACAAAAATAAGTGATATATCTCATTCACCGATTCAGGAGAGAAAATCAACAAAAACTATTTTATGTTCGAGCACTAGTAAGGTGAGTCTATATTAAAGTATTTTTCATGCAGTTTTAGTGTTTTTCAATGAATTTTCCTCACCTTACTTTTCGTTAATTAATGAAGTTGTACACACAGAAAGGAATTATCAGTTGTTTCTACTGATAATATTTTCAATATTTTCTGATGCTTAGTTTTTGACAAATTATGAATTATCCTCGGAGCAAAATTTCTGTTAACGTCATTAAGTAAGGATAAAGAAGAAAATTGCGGCACTCGTGTTCACAAAAAGTTGCAAAACTAGGCAACGGAAAATTCTGAAAAAATTGGCTGCGGAAACGCTACTTAGTAATTAAGGATACCCGTCCCAGCCAGAGCAAAACACTAAAGAATTCCACTGTCGTTTTTCAGTGTTAGAGTCACCTGCCCCTGATAACCATTTCGACAATGTTGTTATCTTCCCTTGAATAGATTTCGTTTGAATTAAGCATTGAACTGTTTTTGTATGGTATGTATGATCTATTTGAATGACACAGCTTTGCAAGCAAACAAGTCATAATGCGCTAGCGTGCATTATGTTGTTTGCTTGCAAAGCTGTGTCATTCAAATAGATCATACATACCATACAAAAACAGTTCAATATTTATATTTACGTTTTCTCTGCCTCTTATGTTCTTTTTTAACTTATAACTTATATTTAAAATTAAAAATTCCCGCCTTATCGACAGTCCACACAATTTCGTTCAATAGTTTGAACAGCGTATTGTCGCGTGCTGATTGGCAAACAAAGTAGAACTTTGAAATTTTAACAAACACTTCAATTTTATTCCACAATTCAGTATCAATACAATTGCGTATGATACCGTAAATCTGACCTTGTGAGTTATTTTTGGAAGTTTATTCGAACTTTTCTCTTTGCTCATTTTGTGAAGAATCCAGGCGTGAATTTATTTGTTTATTGTATGGGAACCTGACAACAGTCGGTAGATTCTATAACATCCTCGTTATTTGACATGTAGTCAGAAACTGAGGAACCGTGGATGCGAGACGCGTGAAACTGATAGCGTTTGAATGAAGTGAGTGATCTTGCGACGGAGCACAGGTTCGTTACAAATGTCTGAAATGTTTATGTGTGCTGTGACTCATATCAGTAGGTCTATAGAATATGTGTTTTTCAGACATTTGTAACGAACCCCTGTTGATCAGTGCAGTGTAACAGACGATATTTCTGATAAATTGCATGAGCGTTAAAATTGTTTCCATTGCCGGCATTGGTGATTTCAACCGATGTGCATTTTGTACGATATTGCAGACCTTGGTCTTGTTTC